AAATTCCCTCATTATCATTTTAATTGAACTAATTGCTATGTTTGGGCTTCGTGCCAATTGATTTAAATCCTTCAGGGATTATTATTACTGGTTTCTTACCATTTTTGCATATCATTGAACTCAGTCCTGGTATTTAATACTGTTTTGCAAACTCAGCCCCATTTTTCTTAACTTGAAACTTAATTAATATTTTTAACTGAAGTTTGGGCTGAATATTTCTATATTTTGGTTTGCCCGAGAGGCTTATGTGATTTTTGGACTGAGCATGGGATCGGGCTGCACGCCGCTGCGGTATGATATTGATATTGATATGAGGCCGAGGGCCTAGTTGATGCCACGAGATGGCTTATTATTGCGCTTGGGCCGTAAGGGGCCCCTCCCGGAGTCTGCACACCCCCAGTGAGCGCCGTCGACGATAAATAAATGGAGCGGGCTGTACGTCGCAGCGGGTACTGGAGAGTACCGGTCTATGTGTTGCATTGCATATTATTAATTGTCATTTATTTTCTTGTCTGCTGTGATATTTCTATAATTGTTTTCACTGTTTTTGCTGGATTCCATGTTGTTGGGTTCAAGTTGCTGTATTTATAGAATTACTGTGTGCCTATTCAGGATCTCTTATTCTCAGTCTTTATTTATGTTTATTACTCACTGAGTTGGAAGTACTCACTTTACTCCCTGCACCTCGTGTGCAGATTCAGGTGCACCCACTGAGGCTGAGTGAGACTTTCTCTGTCGAGCATCATATCCGGAAGCATCAAGGTAGTTGCATGACGTCCGCAGTCCTGATCTTCCCATCTATCCTATTTATTTTATTCCCCATTTCTTCAGACTATTATGTAGTAGGTCGACACTCGCATGATAGAGGCTCAGACTTGTGACACCGGATTCTCGGGCTGTGTAGTAGTATTTATACTTGGGATACCCGCATGTTTGCACTTTATTTCAGATATTCAGTATTATGACTTAGTAATTTGCCTGTATTAAATAAATTCATGATTGGTATAAATGGTCAAGGTTGTGTAATTGGTCGGGCTTGCCTAACAATGTGTTGGGCGCCATCACGACCGGGGTTGGGGTCGTGACAATTGTCGGCTATTATTTTTTAGGACGATTACATCAATTTAGGTCTACGGGAGAAAAGTGGAAAAGCCGGCCCGTGCGGCTCGGTCGAGTGTAAGTATTTAGTCTTAACCAAAAGAAGAAACATACGAATTACGATCAGATTATTATAGAATTAATCGGTACTGGGAAACTTGACTGTTCTCTGATAGCTTGCTTTCCTTCTCCTCTTACTGGGACATCTACAATTATATATTATGCAACGAAGAAAAAGCGGATGTTGGCAGTGGTTAAATAATAAATACTTTTGCAAATGTTGCCTATGTTTTAGACAGCGACCATAGAAGTGACTACGACAGACTACCTAGAGTCATTTCTGCTTGTTTCATTAGTTCTTTTCGGTACTTTATCTATACTATATTAAAAGCACGAAGACCCTATCGAAATGTTGATCGTCTTTTTTACCCTTTTTAAGTGAATTTTATATTGGATATAATTGTAATTGTAGTAATTAATTATTTTCTTTTGAAGAAAAATAAAATTGTTTGTACTTTCCTTTAGGTTTATGATTCTTTATTGGACGGAAAAATCATGGTCGCAAACGTGTGCCGACCGCAATTGGTCGGAAATTTCCAACCCCGAAATCACCTAACGGAGCTAACGGAACCATCGAATTTCCATTTCGAGGTCGTCTTTACACTGTTCCGACTACGGACCACTTTTCCACAGTTAAGCTCTCATTTAGGCTTGAAATGCCGAAGTTTGAATTTTTGAAGTTCCGTTCCGATAGTGAGTTTTTGATCCGAGGGTCGGATTGGAATTCCGGAAGTTGCAGTAGCTCCGTCATGTCATTTGGGATATGTGTGCAAAATTTCAGGTCATTCGGACGAGGTTTGGTTAGGTTTTTTATCGAATGCGTGTTTTGTTGGAATTTGAAGTTCTTAGGCTTGAATCTTTGATTAATTCGGGTTTCCGGCGTTGTTTTAGGTGTTTTTAAGATTGGTACAAGTTCGAATAAGGTATTAGGTGGTATTGGTGCTTTTGGTTGAGGTCCCGGGGGCCTCGGGATGATTTCGGGTAGTTGACGGAAAGTTTTGAAGTTGAATGGGCTGCTGAAGTTCTGGTACCTGTCATAACCGCACCTGCGGTTTGGGTTCCGCAGGTGCGGAGCCGCAGAAGCGGCCGGCCCATCGCAGATGCGAAATTTGGACTCCTTAGCTTTTCCACAGGTGCGGAAGGTTTGATCGCAGATGCGGTTCGCACCTGCGAGTTTGTACCGCAGAAGCGGAATCTGGTCTATTAAGTGAAAATCGCAGAAGCGGTTGTTTTTCCGCAGAAGCGGTCCCTTGTCAGCAGAAGCGGAAACACCTGTTCAGAAAAGGGAATTTCGAGGGTTGAGTTTCAAAAGTTGGAAAAATCAATTGAGTGCTCGGGAGAGGGCGATTTTGAGTGGGTTTTGAAGTGAAGATCATTGGGTAACGTTTCCTTAATCCCTTTTAGTTGTATTCCATCAATATATAGCTTAATCCATCTTCTAATTTCGAATTCGGCATCAAAATGGGAGAAAACTTCTTAGACTAAACCATTGAGTTTTGGGTGAGCATTTGACCTCCGATTTGGGAGATTTTTATATGGTTAGACTCGTGAGAGTACGAGTGTTCTGAAAATGTGAAAATTATTCGGTTCCGAGACGTTGGCCTGAAGGGCATTTTGGTCATTTTACCTAATTTCACGTCGTAGCTTTCAATTAAATAGCGAAACCAGTTGTTTGCGATGTTATTTACAATGTGTAATTGAATTTGAATAGATTTGAGCCATTTGGAGTCGGATACTCGTGGCAAGGGCGTGGTTTCTAGTGATATTGAGCCGGTTTGAGGTAAGTGGCTTGTCTAACCTTGTGTGGGGGACCTTTCCCCTTAGGATTGTTACTTGATATTGAGTGCCTTGTACGTGAGGTGACGAGCGCGTACTTGAGCCGATTGTTGAAAAATCCTAATTTTATTTAAGACATTGAGATCGAGTTTCTTTCATATTTGCTTTACTCTACCTGCAATTATAACCTGTGCTAGATTAGAGAAGCATGTTTAGTTGATTTAACCTGCGTAATTGCTTAAGTTGCCTCGACTGTATTACGGGAAGCATGCTAGGCTAGTACTATATGCTGTTTGTCTTTGTGCTTCATTCCTTGGTATCTTCTGGCTATGATTGCGTATTTATATTGGGACTACGGATGTGGGATTCCGGTAGCTCCCCCCCCCCTTGTTTGTTTACTTTGGGACTACGGGTTCGATTCCCGATAAATCCCCCTGCACTTTTACTTTGGGACTGCGGGTTAGATTCCCGATAGATCCCCCTACACATTGATGGTTGGACTACGGGACGGTATCCCGGGAGATCCTTCGGTTTGGCACATGAGTTGGACTACGGGACGGTATCCCGGGAGATCCACCGGACAGTTGAGAAAGGACTACAGGACGGTATCCTCGGAGATCCTCATTGTTACCTTGGTATTGAGCTGTACTTATTCCGTGGTTGTTCCGTTCTTTGTGTATTTGATATTGCCTTGTTTAACCTGTCTTATCTCACTGTTGTATTCATTATTATTGTCAGTTTTTCATACTATTAATTTATTATTATATTTTATCTCAGTAGGGTCCTGACCTTCCTCGTCACTACCCAACCGAGGTTAGGCTTGGCACTTACTGAGTACCGCTGTGGTGTACTCATGCCCTTCCTGCGCATGTTTTTCATGTGCAGATCATCCAGGTACCTCTACTCAGGCGCACTATCCTTGAGGCGAGGAGATACACGGAGACTTCGAGGTATATCTGCAGCGTTCGCAGACCGAAGAGTCTTCTTCCTTATTCTAGTTGTAGTGCTTTTATTCCTATCATACTTTGATGTAGACATTCTGGAGACTAGAGTACTTATGGTAATTCAATAAGCATGTGTTTCCCGTGAGTTTTCGGGTTTTCGGATTGAGTTGTAGACTTCCGCATATCTTTAGAGTTGTATAGATCAGGTGGCCTTATTTTCAGTTGATATTTTTTCCATATGTTCAGTTTAATTAATGATTTTGCAAGTTAAATTGTTATTTCCGCACTGTTAGGCTTACCTAGTTGTAGGAACTAGCCATCACGACATGTTCATGGAGGGTGAACTGGGGTCGTGACATTCCGGTACTTTATCTATACTATATTAAAAGCATGAAGACCCATATCGAAATGTTGATCGTCTTTTTTACCCTTTTTAAGTGAACTTTATATTGGATATAATTGTAATTGTAGTAATTAATTATTTTCTTTTGAAGAAAAATAAAATTGTTTGTACTTTCCCTTAGATTTATGATTCTTTATTGGACGGAAAAATCATGATCGCAAACGTGTGCCGACCGCAATTGGTCGGAAATTTCCGACCGAAATCGGTCGAAAATTTCAACGCGTTGACTGACTGCCAAACTTTATTTTCCGATCGAAATCGGTCGGAAATTATTAAATATACTTTTTTTTAATTTTCAAATTTCAGACCGAAATCGGTCGGAAAATATTAATTTCTTTTTTTTTAATTTTTATTTTCCGACCGAATTCGGTCGGAAATTTAAAAAAATAATATTTTTATTTAATTAAGTAATAACTTGTAAATTGTTAATTTATTTTAAAAAATAAATATAAATTCATAATTTCCAACTGAATTCGATCGGAAATTATGAATTTTTGGGTAAAAAAAATTAATTTTCCCATCAGTTTTCGATAACAAAATACTACCAATTAGAGCTTAAAACAACCAAAACAGTCCTCATTATGAACTACTACCAATTAGAAGCAATATATCACGAAGTGGGCCTGACAAAAATTACTCGTGTACTTCATCGAATAAGCACATCCTTCTACCACGATATAACATTCTCTTATTAAGAAACTAGCAGGGGCATTGCACAATTCTGATCTTGGAAAATAAGAAAAAGATTATGACTCGCTTAAATGTCATAAAACTTCTGTACATGAACCATACTCATGTATATAAACAACTCGAATATCACCTAATTCCAGTAATACAACCAAAATGTGTTATACATATACTCAAGCTAAAGCTAAATAAACCTTCATAGTTGAATAGTTGATTCCAATTCATCTTACTCCATCCCAGATATCTTCAACTTGAGATCACAAGTTATTTGCTATTGAAAATCCTTCAGGAGACACACAGACAACAATCAATCCAATCATGAGCATGAGCTTACCAGCCCGAAAAGCAAAACAAAAAATGAGGATGCAACCTGCAACGTCAACCGGTGGAGTAGGGGATTAGTTAGTTGGATCTTTGTACAACATATATAACAATGACAATAAAAAATCTTGTCACAAGAATATTAGAGAACTCAAATTGTAGATACTACTTAATGCCTTTCCAATACGGAAAATATTTTCTAATAATCACTGCACGATTTAAAGAAAGTAATAGACGCTAATACCTACTTCTACCATGCAAGTGCAAGTGCTGGCAGGTGTTCATGTACCAAAGCAACAATCTAAAGTAGCATTATACCTCAGCTGAAGAACAATATCCAAGATCAAACATACATCGATAATGCTTGATAGGCTAATGTTAATTGTATTTTGCGTTCAGGAAGTAAGCATGAATTGCAGGAGTATAAAAAATGTGAAGTATGAGCAGCCTATGATTTCTATACTCACAAATACAGTACAACATCATCCGAGTGTAAACATATTTTGCAACTCAACTCGGTTTTCACAGAGTACTAAAAAAGCTGTGAGTTTGTATGCCTTCGAGAAGCTTATGAGAATCCCAGTATATGAAATCTTCTTCAATATTAGTGCTCTCCCTTCTCCTTTAGCTAGCAGTATATTTCAAATTTTGAATTATTTACTTGTCATTTTCTTCTTTCTCCCTAGTAAGATTTAATGAACTTTTGTGTAGCTGTTGTTAACCTAAAATACAAGGAGGAGTGCCACTTCCTAGTAATGCTCAATTTCTCATTACAGACTGAGCTACTGGATTAAGTGACGTAATTTGTAACCTTGAAGAAAAACACACATGAAGACAAACTGAAACTCAATTTCATTTTGCATAACTATCATGTGCAGGTTGTCACTCAAGGTATTACATCTTGTGGAGAAAGCCTTCACTCTATTGAAAACTAAAATTTCAGTACATAAGCAGAATAGCAGTAAGTACCCATTATCCAAGCCCATATAGTCACATCTAACGAAAAAAAGTAAGTAGCTTAGAGAGAGTGAAATCAGACTATTAATATTTTATCACATATAAGTCATCTTGAATTGGTCAATTTTACATCCATATTCTCAGCTATAATTCTCTAATCAATCTAATCATATAGGAAAAATAATCACTAAAAAATAAGAACTCACTCCACCTTATTTTTTTCCCTTTGTTCATAGGAATTAACAAAAGCAAGACATCTACAATTTAATATGCAAAAACAGGAACCTCATCAAGAAAATTCGCATAACGCAGGGAAGCAAGAGCAGAAGAGAACTTAATATACCATTATTTATGATCGCGTATAATCATCTTTGTGAAAAATTAAGTAGAAGAAGAGATGCACGGCAAGCCAGAATGAGCGGTCAATTGCGTACCAGTTGTGTTGTTGATCGCTAGAAGCGACTAAACCTGTCAACATCAAAGAATACCATTGAGATATAGGAAATTGAACCAAAGGTTATGATAACCAAGAGAATAAATAAATACAGGTGTTAAATGAATTGGTTTCCAAGATTTACTACAAGGCAACAACTAAGAATAAGAAGCTGGCATCACATTCCATGGATTATTAAGCAATTCTTCACATTTCTTGCAAGCATATATACTACTATATTAAAGAAACCAAACAAAGAGAAAAATCTACAGGAGCACTTTACTAATCCATTATTTGTTCAGCTTAGGTGCTACTAATTGGATTTGCATTTGATGGTTAGTAAAAAAGGGATATTTTCAGCATTTAGATGGGTACAAAGCTGCAGTGCTTTAATCATGTTCAGAAGCTGGCACATTGCTATTGCTGTGGGATTATATCATACCAAATGTAATTTCAGGATGCTGAAATCATAGCATAGTGTTAACAATGGGCTCAAACTAACGGACCACACTAAGCAACTCCTATTATTAGATAAAGCAACTCAAATCAACTTAATCAAATTCATGACAACTCTCAACCAGCTGTGTTTTCAAATTTAAGAACGAAGCTAACGAAATCTTATAACCACACAAAGAAAACAAACACAACAATGGAGATTGAACATCAGAAACACAATTCACTCCATGATTTCATCCATTTTTATGAAGAAATAGTGCAGATTCGAGAATGTGTACCTAAAATACTCGACCAAATGGAGCTTGAAACAACCGATAACAAGCAGAAAAGAAGATGAAGGAAGTCCAGCTACGATTTTGATAGCAAAACAGCAGCGTCGGACTACACTTTAATCCAGAAACAACTGAGAATCCCATAAATTCTTCAAATTAAGCACGACCGAAATCAAAAAGCTTTTTCTTCTATTTTTTTTTTTTAATCTCTTGTATGTATGTGAGAGAGGAGAGTGTGGATGTGAGCTTGTCATTCCATGGGAGCTGAGTGAGAGGTCGAGGAAGAAGAAAGAGGTGAAACGGCGCTAGGGTTTTTTTGTAGAAATGGGGGGTCTGTTTTTTCGTCTCTGATGGAAATGAGGGTCTATGGTTTCTAAGAATGGGGGTAGCGGGATTTGGGTTGGGGCAGCGTCCGTGATATCAATATGTTGTGGTTTTCGTTTTAAATTATTTTAATTATACTGATCTATTTCGGTCGGTTTTAGTGGTCATGTATACTGATAAATTATTTTATTATTTATTTTAATATATATATATATACATCTTAAGATATATATACATCTTAATATATATATAATATATAAGCTATATACGATTAAATCTTACTATAACACATGTAAATATTATTGTTGCTAGAACTTAAGTATTAATATAGCACTACATCTTGTAGAACCTAACATTACTTAAGGATACTACTAATGCACTTATACTTAGTGTAATGTCAATCTACAAGCTAATTACAACTAATACACTTACTAATTACTATAAGCGACAGAAAAAAGTCCGTTGGTACTGCTGCGTCGGTAAACAACTAATTTTTAGTAGTGTGTATAGTATATAAGCTAGATTCGATATCTATATATATACACACACACACACGTGTGTGTGTGTATATATCTATATTATTATAAAAGCATGAATACAATATCGGTTAACTAAAATAGCCTTAAAATATCTATTTCATATGGGATAAAATTGTAATAACCAAACTTTTGCCTGATATCTTGACTTTGAGTTCAATTAAGATTTCTATTTAACGTTTTTAAAGGAGACCACTAAAAGAAGGGGTTTTTGACACAGTTACCCACAAAAATAAAATTATTTACCCTTGTCTACCCATTTATTTTTCTACCCATAAACTAATTATATTTCCTACCCATAGTAGGTTTTGTGGGAAATTTTTTCTTTATTCTCCAATTCTTTTTTATTTCTATGCTTCTTTTTTTTTTCCTTTTTTTTCTCGTTTTCTTCTTATTTCTTTTTCTTTTTTCCTTTTCTAATTTTATTTAACTTCTGTTTTTTATATTCTTTTTCTCTTCATAATCTAATTTCATTTACTGTTTTCACTATTTTTTATTATTCTTTTTTTATATTATTACTAAAGAAAAATTAAATTGTGTATCAATTAAATGTAGTTAATACAACCAAATAAATATTAATTAACATAAGATACCGGTATAGTATACAGCTATACCAACAGGGTATACAATTGTACGCAAAGAGTTAAAAAGATTTAATTCAATTATTAAACTGAAATAATTTTAGTTAGAAAAAAAAATTAAAATTCTAAAAGGACCTAATTGTAAGAGTATACTATTACATCATATAGCATACTATAATTTTTTTTTTTTTTTTTGCATTTTCAGTTTGCCCCTCACACTTTAGTAAAGCTTAAAACAGATTAAAAGGGAAAAGACAAGTGAATTTACGGGTAATAAGTATACTATTATAGTATATTGTATACTATTGCAGCATATTGTTACAGTATCTTGCATATTATTACAGTATACCATAACAATATATTGTATACTATAATAGTATACTGTTGCAGTATAACCATATACTCCTATAGTATATTGGTATACTTTTTTGTAAACTATAATAGTATAGTGTTGCAGTATAGCTATATACTCCTACATAATATTGTATACCGTAGCGGTATATTGTAGCTATGTTCTTCTTCGATTTTCAACTGAAAATTTCAATCTCAATCACCTCAAATCAGCTCCAAACGCTATCAAATTTCAGTATGAAATTTCTGAAGGTACTATAAGCAATATTTAACAGCACCCACTTTGAATCAAACAAGAAATCTTCAAAAATAAAATTGAGCTTCAAGCCCAACAATGGTAGGACCATGGAAGGCCTTCAGCTATTTGACAGCATGTTGACGGCTCGAGTTAATCCGACAAATTTCACTTATACAACGCTGTTGAGTGCTTGTAGCAGGTTGAGAGATGGTCTTGCAGGGGAAGCAACTCATGTTAAAGTTTCCGGGATTGCAACAGATTTGCCCTTGTACAATGCGTTGCTCGACATGTATTCTAGTTGTGGTGATAGTGAAGCAGCTTTGAAAGTCTTCGGAAAAATAAAGAAACTAGATCTGGTATCTTGGAATTCAATGATTTCTGGATATGCAAACAATGGAGATGGAGAGATGGGGGAAGGTAAAAGAGACGGAGAATTGGAGGAAGGTAAAATGAGGAAGAAGAAGTGCGGGTAAATAGTTTGGGAGCCATGGGTAGGAGTAGTAAATAGTTTGGGCCTGGGCATTAAAGGGTAAAAAGTTTGGAATTAGTGGATATAAAATGAGATTTTCTCCTAAAAGAATCTTAGTCTGAATAGCACTGCGACTAGGTTGATTACAATCTGTATTTACTTCCATGTGTAGTATTCCTTCGAATAGGGCAAATCGTAAGGTAAACATTTTTTCTAAAACTAATACGTAGGTTTCCAAAGTAAATTGTGAAATAATATGAATCATGAATGAGTTGACGAAAAACCTAGGAGACATAGTTGAACAAAACTAATTAAGCTAATGGATTATTTTCATATTTAGAGGTAGGTCTTGCACATAGGACAAAAACGTACATACTTTGGTGTATGTATCTTAAACTTAAAGTATACTACTAATTATTTTCATATTTACGACTTTTAAAGCAAAGCCTTTTATCCATCCGCTAGAATCTGTTACAAATTAGACATTATATACTTCTTGTGTGGTACATATTGCAGTGGTTAAATCTTTTATGAAAACCCAGGCGAACAAAATCTTTGTTGATTCTGCATGGTCCTAAGAAAGTTCTAAGAGTAAATTTACGAAATTTTAATTGATTTCAAAAGTTATAAATATTAGAAAAATTAACATAAAGATAGTTATGTTATATAGTTCAAACAAGGGAAAAATTTGTATAAGATAAATTTTTAATTGATTGACAAGTCCTATATATTAGGATTTCCAACATAATTCAAATGAAGAAATATTTAATAGAAATTTTTTTCATTGATTTCAAAATCCTAATATTATGAAAATAATTAAATGATAATTTTATCCAACATAATTTTTTTAAAGGGTAAAAAATTGATATTTTAAAGACAAAAATTTTATTTATGAAAATTTACACTAACATAAAATATTAATAGTTTAAATTATATATTGCGTTAAAACTTAAAAGTTTTATTATCTTTTACATATAAAATTAACAATAGTAGTTGGGGCTACATGTGCATGGCACGTGAAATACAATGGTGGTTTACAAAAAAAATCTTATAATATTAACTATAATAACTCACAATAAAAGGACATAACTGGAATTCCAGACATAACTCTTGTAATTCTATTAGTTTTAGAACATAATACTACACATTAGGAATCCTTCACGATTATCTTTAGGAAGCATGTTAGTATAATTATTTTTGGGCATAGACATATACTATTACATATTAGCATATAAACCTAATATCTCTAAGAATACGTTAAGTTTCCTATTGCTATAATTACTTTCAGAATATAGACGTATTTTTAGCCATGCAATTCTATTACTTTTAGGATATACTTCTTAAAAATACCTATTACTAATTTAATTTTAAAACGTTTTATATTGTCCTACTACTGATTTGATTTGAGAATGTATTATGTTGTCCAAATTCATTTAGAAAAAGGAGAGCCATCATAAACAGTAGATATTGCAGGATTATTCTTTATAGATGTCTCGATGGAATCAAAATAATATTCCTATATCATGCATTACTTGCAAATATTAGATCAAGAGGCGAGATACTGTTAGCAATAATAAAAAGTGGTGTACCAACAACGATTTTATTATGCGGTTGTACAACTTACTTAGATTTTGATATACCTCTTCAATCAACTGAAATAATCATCACGAATATATCAAAGCATAGCAATGATGCTAAATTTATAAGGAAAGTAAAGTTTATGATATGTAATGAAGAGCTTATGGCTAAGCGTAAAACAATAGAAACAATTGACCAGATTTTTAGAGATACATGGGATATCAATGAACCATTTGTTGGAAAAGTAATAGTTTAGGAGATGATTTCTGTCAACTACTACCAGTAGTTTCCAAAAATTCGACGAAACCTATAGACTGNATTATATTCGAACTACTTTCATACTCAAATAATATTTTTTATATCAAATTTTGGATAATATTAAAAATATACCCAATTATCTTAAAACAGCTAAGAAAATATTGAAGAATATACATGCATGAGAAAGAAAAAGAAAAATAGTTGGTAAGAGTCAATACCACTGATTGTGGAAATATAAAGATCTAAAATTGAAATGTTAGATCGATACTCTTTAAAAATAAAATTTATAGTAGATAAAATTATAATTACAGTCACATATTCCAAACAAGAGATGAACTAATATAAAGAATTCGAATCAATGTAAAATAAATTAATTTTTATGTTAAGATCAAAATTATTAAATATTTTAATTAATTATTTAGTAAGAGAATCCAATACAATTATTTTTTAAATTCATCAATGAATAAAATTATTTTTCAAGTTAAAAAAGTTTTGGGTACATAAATTTATTCCATAAAAGAGCGTTAAGGATTAAAAAAATTAGAACACAAAGTAAAAAGGGGTTAGTATAGTATTAAAAATCAAAAAGTTATACAAGTGTATGAGAAAGCACAATCAGAGCTAAATCCTGAACAAGAACAAGCTTTCAATACTATATTATAAACAGTAGACTCTGTTATTGCAGGATTATTCTTTATAGATGTCTCGATGGAATTAAAATAATATTCCTATATCATGCATTACTTGCAAATGTTAGATCAAGAGGCGAGATACTGTTAGCAATAATAAAAAGTGGTGTACCTACAACGATTTTATTATGCGGTTGTACAACTCACTTAGATTTTGATAAACCTCTTCAAACAACTAAAATAATCATCACAAATATATCAAAGCATAGCAATGATGCTAAATTTATAAGGAAAGTAAAATTTATGATATGTAATGAAGCGCTTATGGCTAAGCGTAAATCGATAGAAACAATTGACCAGAATTTTTAGAGATACATGGGATATCAATGAACCATTTGTTGGAAAAGTAATAGTTTAGGAGATGATTTCTGTCAAGTACAACCAGTAGTTCCAAAA